CGTGTTCAACAAATTTAACATCCGATAAAGAACAGGTGACAGACGATGCATGTGCATAGACTCAGTGTCATCTTACATCATCGTTGCCATGAGTTATAAATGCCAGAGCACATTATGCTGGAGTTACATGGCATCTACAATATTATAGCGAAAGACCTGCATTTATCCGGGGGCACCTGCCTGGGGCACCCACCTCCCTACCCACCCTGTCCCCTTGCACTGCACATGACGAACTTAGTAAGTACATCACATTATGTTACACTGCTGAAGATGGGAGAGACATGCATAAATTATTGTCATTGTCAATTAATTGTTAATTGACGTTGAACTTCATAGTAGGTCATTCTTTTCTCTCTTTGACCTCAGATTGTGCCTTGCACTAGTGACTGATTAATGCTCTATTGCCATTTTCCTGGTCAGCAGTATCTGCTCTTCCCTTTCTCTTGTCTGTGATAGGCTTGATTGTACAGGAACTTCTGGTCTAGTCTATTAACTGTATAACTGTCACTTTCCGTGTTCACAGTACTGTATTCCAGCAATCTTATTGATGTTTAGGGATGGGTATCGGCAAAAATTTCGTATCGTGATATATCACGATTTTCCCCCAAAAATATCACGATAAATCGTGATATTTTTACATACAATTTTTACTACAATTTCATATGAATTTCCATAATATTTCCTAAAAAATATGCTATAAAAACATAACTTTACTGTTTAAATATTTATTTATTTAATATAAAGAATATTTGGATGCAGTTGTTTAACTGTTTTCAACATTTTTTACACTTCCTGTAATTGTCATTCAATAGATTGAACAAACAAATGAAAATTTATAGTTATGTACCAAATACCGGTATTTTAGTCTTCGTATCACGATACGTATCATGCAATAAAAAATCGTGATATACCGGTATACAGATAAAATCGCGCATCCCTTAATTGATGTTCCAGGTAAGTTGTTCTGTAGATGTATTAAAGAGTAAAGACAACCCAAGACCATTGTTTGGGAAATCTCAATGTTCTTTGGCATGTTGCAGGTGGTAGGACTTGTTGGCATTGTGTCAGTTGATCAGCACTTGGCAACTTCATGGGATTGCTGGCTTCTATGCTTATAGTTTCATTTTAAGGATTTGTGTTACAATACATGTATGTCATTTTCAATCATTTGCAGGACCTGAATTTTATAAAAGTCATGCAGATTTCTACTTTATTCCACCAGTTGGAAACAAATCCTCCATCACAAATGAGGGAGTCTGTCACACACATTAAACAACGGCCAGTAAAACAATACAGATCGAACAGTGAATTCTAAGACTTTAGGTAAGAAATCCTATCCAAGACACGCTATAGTTACTATATTGACGGAATAATTTTTTGTATAGTTTGCTACCATATTTCTTTATACTTATGTGTATATGAGAATACTTTCTGTTTACAATGTTTTCCTTACTGTCAATATAGGTATCCACAATATTGTATCAATATCAAATCAATGGTTGTTCAATGAATTATAGTTACCACCCTCAAAATTGTGTTTATTCAAAATGTGAGTTACTTGAATACTATCATTTTGTGAAGTTTTCCCTGTAGTGTAGATATCTTTGATATCGATGATATATTATATATATATCGCTTCGATATCGATTCATGTTTGCTCAACCCGGCTTAGGTTGGTACCATTCTTGAAGTTGTCATTGTGTATGTGTGTCTATATTTAAATACTTTAAATTTACAACGTTGTACTTGCCATCGATATCGTCGATATCAGTAATATCATATCAATATCAAAACATTTTTGTCATCACTCTTGTGGCTGTATTTCTTTATGCAATACTTAATGAGAGTATGTACTTCCTGATTATTAAGTTTGCCCTACTGTCGATATCAACGATATATTGATATCAAACCATGATTGTTCAAACCATGACATTTTTAACCAATGTTCACTCTTACCCAAAACCTTACCCTATCCCTAACCTCTGACAATAACAATTAACCCTTAACCTCTATTTGTCTTCCTTATTAATCTAGACATTCATAATTATCAATAATAGATTAATTAATTAATATCAACATCATTTATGGCCTTCTTAAATTATGATATACACGTGTACCTCAACTTGAGAATAATTTGTACAGATCTGGATCAATATCCATACGTTATCAGGATATCGTGGATATCCATATAGCACTAAGTCTTATACTGCATCCAGTATTTCCAATTTCATAGTACTGAGGATTAATATCATAACAATATCATCAAAATATTGTCGATATCATAGATATGGACAATATCATCATGATATTGTCAATATTGTAGATATCAACATCGAAATCGTTCTTGGGCATGTAATTTGAGAAATCCCTCATCTTCTGTAGGTCTTGGTCTAACTTGGTAAACATTTTTTTGACAATCAAAGCACATCTTGACTTTAATTACATGTAGATCATTGATGAATACTCTTTGTAGCGACTTTCTTCGGTCTTAGTATGGTACATTGCAATGGTGTGGGACATTGCATTCCTATAAACTGCTCGGTTGCTGGCACAGAACTTTGCCCAAGTTTTGTGTGGTCAGCTAGATGCTTTACTTTCCATAGAGGATGTAGATCTTGCATTGCTTTGTCCACTTCTTTGGCATTTTTGTCATCATTGTCTCTAGTAACATACCAGACTAATGTAGGGACAGCTGTGTGCCAGTGTCCTTCTCCATCTCATATCTGACAATGCAGGTCAAAGTTGCCCAAGGTAGATTAGAGGTACACTCAGGATGACCACCTGGACAATCCACTTCCATTCTCTTGCCCCTTAGCCATGCACCTGTCCAGCAGTTTGTTTTGCAGAGCACAGGCAAGTATATGTACTACATGTATATGTATTTTCTATCAGTGTTGGTTTTAACAGGCAAGGCAAAGGCTTCATTATTACCTAACCTACTATATAAATTGTAATTAGGCATTTTGAACTGTTTCCTGATTCATTTTAATGTTTTTGCACATCATGAAACAGTCAAAACTGTTTACCTGGTCACAAAATGAATTGTTATACCCCTACTAAACAGTCCCTGTATAATTTCTTACTTTAAAAAGTCCAACAGTTTGACTGTTTTCCCCGACTGTTGGTCCAGGAACTGATAAAATAGACTGTTAAAAAAGACTGTAGTCTGCTGAAGTCAAATGGCGCTAAATTGAGTTATCTTTTCCTCATTCGGCAAACCTCGGCTGATTCGGGTAACTGTGAGTTAAATGTTATCATCCGAGGAGTGCCGAGTAGTTTAAACCTGTTGTTAAGATAAACATAAATTGCAGATGTTCGTTTTGCTGCGGCGAAAGAGGATGAAATCCAGAAATCTGAAAATATCTGGAGACTCTGGACTTATCACTACATCTTCTTTGGGACAGTTTTATTTTTTGTTAAGTTATGAATTTGATTTAGTAGGAGTGTAACAAAACAGTTGTTGACAGGAGTCTCGGGAAACAGTCGATCTGTTGGACCGGAGTGCAAGCTGTTGCCTGCGGCCTTGGGCAACAGCTTGCACTCTGGTCCAACAGATTGACTGTCTGTTTCCCTCAACCCCAGTCAACAACTGTATACTGTTGCATGGCTGAACTAATCCATTATGACGTCATGATTAATTTCCCTCTACTTTACAGCTATAATATTGAATTATGTATAAATTGAAGCATTTTCATGGCAATAAATTTGAGATTATGATTTGAAGAGTAATCCTGATACCCATATAAATAGAGATTCAATTTAACATCATTTGAAAGAAGAGGACAAGAACACCTTTTCTGAGGGTAATTTTTGGAAAAATGTAGGCCCCTTTCACTCTCTGTAGATCCTTGCCTTTTAAAACGTTCGACTCAGCGTGCTATATTTAAACCTTCAAGTCATCTTATGTTTTTTATTAAACAATACATGTATACATCAATATTTATTAGGGCATGATAACACTAAGAAATAATGCATACTTTTGTCGATGTGTCTATATCATTACTTTAAGAAATTATATAGTAGGTTAGGTAATAAAACACTTATTTCATGACAACTCAGGAAACAGTCAGACTGTTGTCCCTCCATAATGGGGAAGACCTGGGAAACTGTTGCCCTCGGCCTTCGCCCTCGGGCAACAGTTTCCCAGGTCTTTCCCATTACCTCGGGACAACAGTTTGACTGTTCCCCTTGTAGTCGTGAAATAAGTGTATACTAGCATTCTGTTAAGGGCTATTGCAATTAATCATGATTACTGTTATAAAGGTCATCTGTTAAGATTTCATGACATCTTCTGGTTGGCTTCGGATCTTGTTGATCTTTTACATTTTCTGTATCTTTTGATGCATATCTTATTTGTTTAGGTTTGTAAAAAAAATATTTTTGCTTATTTTGAACAGGAGCTTCTGGAGAGAGGCCTTAGTGTAAGGCAGAATGTCCAGGCAGCTCAGGAATTATTTAGCCTTCTCTGTCCCTAGTGAAGTTTCCTGAAGGGCATATGCTAGGGCCATGTTTGATGCTGATGTTTTGCAGCAAAGACCGCCTTGATGGATTTCTTGGAATAAGGCAAACTCAGGAGAATTGGACTGACAATTAACACTGGCCAGCGAGTATTTTCCAGAAATTCCTACTTTTGTTGAGTGCAGCACAGTGCATGATGTTAGATTCAGAACTGGTATTTACCGGTGAAGTTGTATTGTTAGAATAATTACCTCCATCATCCTCTCTGTGTTCACTATATGTATTTTATATATGACAATTTTTAAAGAATTTCACCATAATTGGGGGTAATTTTTCAAAAAAAATCTTAAGAGTATTTATCTATATTCTTGATCAAAGTTGTTATCAGAATTAAGTAGAGGGGATATTTATACAATAAATAAAAATTGATAAGAAAAATTTACTGCAGCATATGTGATATGTGAGCATTTCAAAATTGTCCATTGTGTGTCTGATGCTCATTTCTTCCTTTGTTATCAGGAGATCCTACACTTCACTTCAAAGGGCCATAACTCTGCTGTTCAGATGACAAATGCAATGAGATTTCACAATGATGTGTCGTATAATGGCTGTAGAAGATTTTGTACCAAGTTTTATGAAAATCAATCCAGGTCAGAGTCTTTATCAGGTAACAGTTTACTTATTTTACCCCATTTTCATTGATCACCCATGGCCAAGTAGTGCCAGTTTAAAAATAGGGGTTTTGACTTTTTTTCATAAAAATTCTTGTGGATATATATGGTATTGGAATGAGGTTATTTGATGGAAGAGATGGAAAAGAGAGGGTCTGAAAAAACTAAGAAGTCTAAAATAATGGGAATTCTGCTTTAACGTAGAACCTACGTCGTATGACGTCACACTGAGAAAATTAGTTTAGACTGTTTTTTGGTGCTAGATCCATTATGACGTCATAATTAATTTAATGTTACTTTTTCCCATACTTTCTTCAAGAATGTCTCATGTAATGAAGTTACACAACTGTGATAATGTGAATAACATGCAACTATTTTGAAGGAAAGCAAAAATCCTAAGACATCTAACTAGTACAATATCTTGATGAAAAGTGTCTGAGTCAAAGATCTGTTAAAAATTGTGTGTAAATTTTGTAATGTCTATCATGAAATGACGTGCATTCCCTTTCATAATTATTTGTTAATTATTCATAATGGTTGGTGTATAATAATGTTTCCCGAAAATATTATCTTTTTAAATAAAAAATTACATTTTTTGATAAATATTCACATTGTAAATCTGAACATAACCCCAAAACAGTAATTTAATAATTAAATCCTGTGTAAGTGCAAAAAGGTCAACAAAAGAAGTATGGATAAATAGAGTGTTCTCATTCGTTTGCGGGGAAAGGTATATATTTTAATCACTTTTTGTAATTATTTGGGTATGTTCTTCATCATATTAAAGATTGAAAACATTCTGACAAAGACTTTTGAAAAATATTTACAAGTTTAGGTGGTAAATTGACTCAAAAAATATTGAGCACATTTGCCTATATTCGTTGAAATGTGGACTTAATCTTTACGTCAATTGAATAAAAAAGAATTTATTCTTGAATAATATCGCTTAATATGGTTCAGTTAATAAAGTTTATAAACGACGATGTTTGAAGAAGTATTTTAGTGATTTATTATATTCTCTTTATGACCAGTACCCTTAAAATGGCTGAAAATATGTAGTCGCTGTGTAAAATTATCCTTCCAAGTTGCACAGACTGCACTACATTTAATAACGAAGAAACATACCATATATTTTTAACTGATTGATAAGCGAGAGCTAATTTATCATTTTGAAAAGTTTGAAAATCTTGTGACAAAGACTTTTCCGACAAAGGTACTACCTTAAGGTGCAAAGTAGGAAGGGTGTAAAGAGGCCTTTATTTACCTGCTTCTTTAAGGAAAATGGAAATATCCAGGGTACTTACAGGGTAGGGGATACTTGTGGAGTCATTGCAAGGCTTGTAGACTACGGATATTTCCGAGATTCAGAAATATTTTTAGACTTGAATTGTTCGAGCACTTTGCCATATTTCAGATGAGTGTCCATGGTGGAATTTTTTAATTATATTGAAATGCCACCACTTGATGATGGGGGGCTGCAAAGAAGATGGTATGGTTTTAGCTTTATTGTGCCCTAAAAATTTAATGTTTTCAAAAAGTTTTGAAACTGGCTTAAATATTAGTTGAGTATATGACTGTAATAAATCAGGAAAGAATATAGCATGATGGAGTACCATTCTGGATATATGACGTCATTAATTTGATGCATTTCTCTATTTTAAACAGAAAAAGCCTCAAAATGACCCATTTCAAGGGTTATTTCCCTTAAGAAAATAGTGTCCACAGCCGTCGCCCACGTTAATTTTTAGATATGTTTTGTAAAATTCTTTGAAAAATCACATATCTCAAAATCTTTGTGGGCGATGCCTGTGGACAATATTATCTGAAAGAAAATTCCATTGAAAATTGATGTCTTCTGCAACTTTTTATGCAAATACGGGAAAATGCACAAGTTTATGACGTCACAATTAGCATTTGGAAAGTCATGTGGGAAAAAAGATTTGTATGATCTTTCTGCATGGAATTTCAATAATTCAAAAAGCATGAGTTTTAATTTTTTACATCACTTTTATTTTTAAGAAAAACACAGGGCAAGATTTGTATTGAAACCATACCTTGTTCTTTAGACCAGTACTGGGCACTTATGGTCTTTGAGCAGTGAGGGATCTTTTTCATGCCAGTACCTACTGCGACATATGACCCTGGTTTTTATGGTCTTCTCATCTGGAGGACTGGTCTGCACATATCATATTGGGATTTGAACCCGCGACATAAGGATTTACTCCACAACTCTGGATCAAATGCTCTAATGACTGCACCACGTGGGCGTCCTGAACAGAAGTACAGAAACGATACTGTATCATATTCTACATACATGTAAATACTTGTAAAACCTTCCAATTTCATAGCATTTTCATTCCCTCTGTCCATCAGAAAAATGCATATATAATTTATTTCCTCTAATATTTTTGTAAATTTTCACAAAGTTAAATTGATGTTTGTTATAACAATTTGGCATTACCCTAATGTCAGTACCATAACAGCCTATGATCATGATCAAACACCATCAATTTTTTATGCTTTTACAGAGAGAAAGAAGCAATTACCCATCGAAACCTGTATCAGTGGTACTGGAAACAACTGGATCTAGTGACAATGTGAGTACATTATTATGCACTGTATAATTAAGAAATAAACAACAATATTAAAAAGTTCTCTGGGAAATGAACTTGGTTGATCACGTGATCAAATCCTGTGAAGCCCAAAGGGCTTCTCAGAAGATTTGATCACGTATCAACCAAGTTCATTTCCCAGTGAACTTTTTGACATTGTTGTTTATTACTTTTATTTACATTTGAGATGAATATTCTGAATAGAACTGCATTTATTACACGAACGGCCCGCCGTATTGCTATATGTTTTGACGCGCAATGACCTAGAAGCTGTTTGGTCTTGAGAGTTCGCCTCGCTCCAACATTTGAATACTTACATTGATGTTCAGCAGTCCAGTTCAGGAAATATCTGTTCATAATGAAAAAACAATGATCTCTACTGAGAATAATCTTACTATTATTGTATGAGTTCTTTATATATGAAGTCAAAAGCGGTGGTATCATCTTCAGTTTACATACCTTCAAAGGAATTTCGTGTTAAAAAGGTAAGGGTGATTTTAGGCTAATTAAAGGCATTCTTCACACCGCAGAGAGATCTAATGATCATTTGTTGAACAAAAAAAAATATATGTTTCAATAATTATATCTTTTTCATTGCTTTAATGGCTTAAAAGTTCCGAAACCAGTGTCACCGTAACCAGCTGGTAACATAAATATGTAGACAAGATATCATCTCGCTGTGTGATTCGGTCAGGCCGTGACCTCTGACCCTCTAATAAGTTCATACAGAATTGAACATATTTTCTCTTCAATAGGTTCATATAAAAAAAATATTTGCAAATGTAAATAATAATTATTGTTTTTCCTTTGCATTTTTAAGCTCACCTGAGCTGAAAGCTCATGTGAGCATTTCTGATAATATTTTGGCAAATGTCCTTCTGTCTGTAGATCTGTAAACTTTTTGACTCTTTTTCAAGAACCACTAGACTCTTCCATTGGGACATTCTGACATTATAGTGGACTTGACATCGAAAGTATAGGCCTTTTGTAAATTGTTTTGTTTCGAGGTTGAATGGCAGAATTTAATTATGGCAAGTCATCAGAAAAATTATGTAAATATAAGATTTGAATTCTTTGAAGTTCATGAGGTTAAACTACAATGCTTCATGCATGCATATTTGTTATGAAATGCTAATGCCAGCATAAAACATCACAGTTCATGTCCTGATGAATTTTCAAATTAAAATAAAACTCATTTCTTAAATGAACTCATGTATCCTAGTGTGCCAATAATAAACAAAATGCAAGAGGTCTGAAATATACAGGGTGATGAAAAATATCTGATACTACTTTGATCCTCAATAAAATTATCATCAATACGTTATATTTCCATTAGTGTACTCTTCAAAATTAGAGGCGCGTTTGGTCGTCTGACAGGGACAGCATGGCGTTGCGGATAATACAAAACATGCCAATCTCAATCTGATTTTTAATGTTAAATGTATTTGTCATTCCAATTAAAGAATGGAAGAACTAAAAGACATATGTAAGAGAGCGAGAACCCTAAATTTATCATCCATTAATAAAAAATACGACTTTTCCGAGGCATGTATATTGTATTTAGATGTAGCATACGATAAATAGATACATACGATCAACAATATAGATATAAATTGATATCGTTGTCATTCCTACTCTTGATGTATATAAAGTCCACAACAATAAAATATTTCATTTGCATTTTCTTAGGATTTGTTCATCGACATTCAACATACTGTTTACATGTTTACGTTACGTTTGTCCCTGAAATCCCGCGAGATTTGTACATTTACCGACTTTTTCACAAAAGAGCTCACTAAGAAGTATAACTCTTCCATAGTGGAAATAGAACGTATTATAGTAATATTTCATTTATACATCATTTTAAACTGCTGCAGCTATCATTTTCATCGACATGTAATACTAGAATACACTGACGTTACTACATGTGATAGTATGACATAAAACTGATACTATTTTTATCATAGTAAAATGTATACCAAAGGGTTGAAGTTCTCCATTAAAACTCACTGATGGACTCTATCTGTGGGGGTATCTAAAGAACAAAGCCAACTTTACATGAGAATTTCAAGTTTGTAATACTCGGGGAAATGTGAGAAGTTACTCCAGACATGTGCAGTGATGTGATCACAAACTTTGAAGGAGACTTCACTTTATCTCATGCTTGCTTAAAAGGGACTTCATGTATTAAGTGTGCTTAGATAACTGCATTATTTCATAAATTGTGGGTTTAAAAAATATATAAATTGTACATGACATATGCTATAGAAAATATCAAAGCAGGTATTAAATTTTGAAAAATTTTATTAAATTTTATTATACATGTATGCCGTGTGGAAGTTTTATCAAGCTTCAAAATGGTATCAGATATTTTGGATCACCTTGTATTTCATGAGAAATCTACATTCCAAAGTCTTGCAGATTCAAGCTCGGTGAAGGATGGGGCTACATGTAGATATGGGAGCAGATTTCACATTATACAGTAAGGCTATGTAAGTCATATTGGTATTCAGCATATATACCAGTAATTGTTATGAGTGGATTCAAGTATGCTTATGTACATGTATTAAAGTAACAGGTGACATTCATTTTGACTATGATATTTCTGATTTCAGGAGTAGTCTCCCCTGTTAAAGATCAACAATGGTGGATATACAATGCGGGATGCTGTGTAGTACATACTACGTACATCATTAACAGAGTTTTGACACCTGTATACCTGTATTTCTACCAATCACCTCTGTAACCTTTGTTGTAATCGTCAGACAGGTAAGAAAAACAAGATAATTAATGAAAATAATTTCTAAAAATAATTAAGATAAATACTGAAAAAAAAAACATATTTACATGTACAGACTCACCCATGTAAGAAAATGTCACATTTTACACACACAACGCAGCTAGGTTAAGGACTCCCATATCTACGTCAGCCTATGCAGAGGTTTGGGAGAGCTATTATGACGTCACGTTAAAACAATACAAATAAATCTCGATGAATAAATACTATAACGTTCTTTTTAAAACACACGAAATACTATCGTTTCTCATAAATGTTATAAAAATAAATGGATGTGCAACTTATCTTGCCATAATAGCACTTAGCGTATGCAGAATGAAAGCCAGCTTGATCTCGCTGTACATACTGAGATGACATCATTTCTTAGTTTGACACGCAGTTTCTCTGTATTTGAGGCGTGGATCAAACTTTTATCGTGGCTTGTAAAAATAAAAATAAATACGAAACATTCGTAGTCAGACAAAAAGAGAGACATATTCTGAAATATATTAATCCACATTTTATTGTCAAACTAAATTGATAATATGTAGACTTTATATATAGCCTCACGGAGCACATTTGTACAGTAACGTGCTAGAATGAGGGGTCAAGCCCCTCGAAAATATCAAAAGTTCAACGATATCCGTTTCACTATAAATTCTGAATTTTTAAACACGTGTAGCCATTATTCCTACTGTTCTGAAAAGTGCTGGGAGCTGGTTGTACATTGTTTATTTATTCCGTAATCTTACATTATTCCAATGCGTATTACATTTTTGTCTTGGGTTTATAGAAAGATGGCTAAATTTTAAACAATTCTCAAGCATGAGGAAGTTGCTCCCAGCACTTTTCGGGTTGAGGAATTTGTCTCAAAGAAAACAAAATAAATTTTATAGCAGAAGAATGTCCGTATATCGTTGAACTTTTACGATCTTTGTAGTAGTACATATATGGTCCAATTTTAAACCTGTCACGTGACAAACAGCTGATGTAAGCGATGTCACTTTGGCCGAACTCAGCAGAGACCCAATATATACAAATGCAATCACCACAATTCACATTTATCAAAACTACTGCTGTTAAAAGAAATATTAAAAATTGTATTCATTTTCCCTGAATATATAAATGCGTATATTTCATGGGCGTCCTTAACCTAGCTGCGAATTATACGTCATTTACATATCCTGGCCATTGATGCAGTAAAACATAGCAATTTTATTTAAATATGTAACAATTCACAGAATAGATGCTATGTATTTATAAATGCTTTCATACATTTAAATTACATACACAGCTTTTTTTAACACAATTTCCTTTTTAGCTCACGTGACCTTTCTGATCACCCATTTTCCGTCTGTCTGTCCGTCCGTCCAGCTGTAAACTTTTCACATTTTCAACTTCTTCTCAAGAATCACAGGGCCAATTTTAACCAAACTTGGTACAGAGCATCCTTAGGTAAAGGGGAGTTTTAATTGTTCAAAGGAAGGGCCAAGCCCCCTTCAAAGGGGAGATAATCAAGAAAAGACAAAAATTGGGTGGGGTCATTAAAAAATCTTCTTCTCAAGAACCACTGGGCCAAAAAAGCTGAAACTTATGTGGAAGCATCCTAGGGTAGTGTAGATTCTAAATTGTTCAAATCATGACCCCCGGGGTAGGGCGGGGCCACAAAAGGGAATCCAAATTTTTCATTGAAATATGTAGAAAAAATCTTTTAATATCTTCTTCTCAAGAACCACTGGGCTAGAAAAGCTGAAACTTATGTGGAAGCATTCTGGGGTAGTGTAGATTCTAAATTGTTGAAATCATGACCCCCGGGGTATGGCGGGCCACAACAGGGAATCAGTTTTGCATTGAAATATGTAGAAAAAATCTTTAAAAATCTTTTTCTCAAGAACCACTGAGCCAGAAAGGCTGAAACTTAAGTGGCAGCATCCTGGGTAGATACTAAATTGTTCGAATCATGGCCCCTGGTTTAGGTTGGGACCACGATATGTACTACAAGGGGGGAAATCAGGTGAAAAACAGCAAAGGCCAAAGTTACTCAGGTGAGCGTTGTGGCCCATGGGCCTTTTGTTAATTTTGGATATGTCAGTGGTTTACTGTATGTGTCTATATTTTAACAGTTTTTGTTTCATTTTAAAGTCATTTTGCCTATTTTGTTGTTGTTTTAGATGATGGACCACTCTACATTCTTTTCAGGTTCAGGTTCCCCTACAGATTCACAAAGTTCCAATATTGAATTTCCATGACCCCTATTCAGTGAGTGCACAACTTTATGTATTCTACTTTCAAAATTTCCACTACTTGTAATATATTTTGGATTTGATTATGAATATGCCCTATTCACAGATTCAGCTTTTGTGTACATGTATGATACTTAATTCTATTAACTTGAAGATTATTTAGTCCTAAAGTCAAATTTATACAGTCTTTTAACAAACATTTGTCTTCCTCAGTCATGTTTAATTCAAAGTCACTAGGCACCACTGAAGATTTCCACTTATTGCTTTTCAGTCCATGACAGAAAAAGGAATAAAGTTGACAGGACTTTCATCACTGCCCTTTAACTGGTAGCAGTTTACGTTTAGACAGCAGAAGACATAGCCAGTTTCATCAAAGGTAAGTCTTCTTCAGGGTAGTTTGTGTAGCAGTTCTCATGCTCTGTCCTTCACTGAAGCTTCAGGTCCAAGCAAATCTTCTCTTCATGGATTCTCTTAATATGGCATTGGTTCTTCTCAGAAACATGTGACTGCTGAATGGAACCTTAGCAGTCTGTTTTCTTTGAGGTTCTTTAAGGTTTTCAATGACATGTCCTTGTTTTTCAGATGCACCAGATGCCTTGGCACTATCTCCATCACTGGTGAAATGGTAAATGACTAGTAGACCGTCATCACTTAATATTTTTAACTCACCAATGCATAATTTGAGGCCAATCTCTTCTCATCTCCGATGGTGGTCTCCAGAGGAATGGTTGCAGTGCAGTCTTCGTGTCCTGAGCCTTTCCTTCTCAGGTGTGTGCCTTTCTTGCATAGTTTATTCCCACAGAACACTGCCTCAACATTTTTCCTCTGAGTAACATTTTCACTTACAGTATAAGTCACTTGGGTGGCAGCTTGGAATTGGTTTTTCCAGTGGCACTGAAGGTGGCATTATTATACCAAGCATCTCCTTCCCCTCTGATAGGGGTATCAGGAAGTCCACATTTTTAGTTCTATTGGTCAGAGACCAGAAGAGATCATGCTATTGTAAGGTGTCTGTCATTCGTCGTCTGTCTGTAAAAATTTTTTTCAAAATTCTACTCCTCCTACAGTTTTGGTCTGATTTGTGGCACACAAATAGAGTACACTAAGACATCGGTTTTTGATTTATATAAACTCTGTTGCCATGGTTACCAAAATTAAAATTTCTGTGAAATACTTTCAAAATGCTACACCTCCTACAGTTTGGTCTGATATCAATTTTGATATAACATGGCATGCAAGTAGACTAGATACATAATTGTCTTTATCATTTTTTTCTTATTTTGATGAATTATGTTGCCATGGTAACTAGAATCGAAATTTCTGTAAAATTCTTTTAAAAGGCTACTCTTTCTACAGTTGTTGTCTGATTGCAATCTTACCATGAAAAGAGACTAAATCAAGGATCACTATTCCATTTATTGCTGATGCAAAGTTTCAAGTCCAAGTTACTTTTCTCTTCCTTTGTTATAAGTAAAAACCAGACAGTAGGGCTACAGTCTCTACGTAGTCTACTGGTTCATTAAGTTCCTGAATGTTCTGCCCTATTGATTTTCTTCATACTAGTTTTATTCACATCTATGATAATTTCCCCACTTTGTTGCAGGTCTGTTGCACATGGGTGGCTGAAGCTGGTTCAATATTTCCACCAAGAAGCATACCACGCATACCCTCTGTAGTAATGCTGGTACCCAAGTGACCGATAGCCATGGCCACATTTAGCTGTGCAGCTCTTCATCCCCTTCCAGATCTCCTCACCTCTTCGTAAAGCTTTTCTCATTGACTGGTGTAGTGGCACTTCTTACATCGGATAAAAGGATCCATGCCAGGCCTCGTTTTTCCTCCTAATGTTGGTTCCAGTCCAGTGAACCGTCACAGTCTGGAAACTTCTTTAATTGTTCTTTAAATGCCTGATTCCACAATTTAGCAGTCTTCTCTTGGTGAAGGACTTTGTATAGTTTTGAGTTTGGGTCATCTGACACAGCTTCCATGTAGGAGTCTACAGGCTGGATTTCACTTAGCCCGGGTCACAAAATCTTCATCTCACTGCTTCGGCTCTCGGCAGAGTCTGACATTTATATATATTTATACAGACATATAGAGACATTTTCATTTTCTCGTTTTGGGCATCTTATTTTAGGCCTACAGTATTAATTTTGGACTCATGTACTAGGAATATATCTTTAGCAGAATTGTCTTTTTTAGGTCACCTGAGTCACTCAGGTGACCTATTGCAATCTGTTTTTGTTCGTCTTTGTGCGTTAACATTTGAACATTTTTAGCTTCTTCTCTGAAACCACTTAACCAATTTCAACCAAATTTGGCATATAGCAAATATGGGTGAAGGGGAAAAAATATGAATTTCATGGTCCCTGCCCCCCTGGGGCCTGAGGGGTGGGGCTAAAACCACCAAAATTAATGCAATCTTTAAAAATCTTCTTCTTTACTCCTGGACATCAAGCAGTCAAACTGTTGGCATGATTGTAATAAGCATTGAGCCTCTACCAAAATTGTGAAATTCATGGCCCCAGGATCAGGGGTGCTGGTGTTAGGGTGGGTATATATAGATCAAATAGTGAAAGTGCCTTATTTCTTTGAGAATCTTCTTCTCTGCTCCTGGGTATTAAATAAACTAACTAAGTACATAGTTATGAAGAGCAAGAGTGCCTCTTCCAAAATTGTGAATTTCATGGTCCCAGGGTCATGGGTGCTGGTGTTAGGGCGGGCCTCTATTGATTATATAGTGAAAATGCATTATTTCTTTGAAAATCTTCTTCTCTACTCCCTGGATACTAAATAAACTATAAGTACATAGTTATGATGAGCAAGAGTGCCTCTTCCAGAATTGTGAATTTCATGGCCCCAGGGTCAGGGGTTCTGGTGTTAGGGCAGGGCTCTATTCATTGTATAGTAAAATTGCATTAATTCTTGAAAATCTGAAAAGTACTTTCATAGTTTTAATGATCAGGTAGACTTGGAAATAATAAATGAATAAAAATGAGACAAAAATAACATCTCTTTTTATATCTTCTTCAAAGGCTAAGAGAGGCCAGTGTGAGAGTTAATAATATGGGGTTAAAAAATAGACATTTTGTTAATAGTCTGCATGGTAATAGTGATAAATGGGGGACAGACAGATACTAGACCAATTATTTTGTTGATGCTAATCATACTATTTTTCTTGCTTTTGGGCAACAAGGCTTCATTTATCAGTTTATGGATCCTCTAAATTGTTGTATTGTACTCAGATGACCGTTAAGACTGTTGGGCCTCTTGTTTAGGTGTACATGATGCAACTTTCTGGATGATGTGTAGTCTGTCAACATCTGAAACCCACATGTATAGATAAGCCTGTTTTTGTATAAGAATCATGTCTATTGTATTGCTCAGCTTTTTGCAGGTTTTATATGAATAAGTTAAAATTTTATTCTATATGTATAGATTTAAACTAAAGGTGCATAGACACAGATTTGAAGTTTATATTTTCTCAAATTTTCTGTATAATATCACAACTTATATGTTGCTATAGCATTTCACACGAAAATAAAATTAAAAACTTATTTAATCTGGAAATTATTGAAACTACGAATTTCGGGTGGCATTTGATTAACACATCCTTGCACTTTCACGATTTTTAACTTTATCCTTAATACTTAGGAGAAGTAGCAATTTTGTTGTGTATTAATGAATAATATTACATCTATAATCCAGAAAATTCAGAGTAAAAATGTGCGAAAGTAAAACCCACTCACTTAAGTATTGTCAGCCCCTGCTCAGTGTTGTGTAGTTGTGTACAGAGTTTAACAAATTGAATATACCCGTGAAACGTAAACTGTTTTTGTAAACAGGGCACGAGCTCTGTTGTTATTAATGTTTATGTTTCACCGGGTGTGTTCAATTGTTAAACTCTGCACACACCACTGAGCACGGACTGACAATACTGGTAAAAGGATTTTGCTTTCTACATTTCTACTCTGAAATTTCTGCATTATAGTTTTAATATTTTTCATTACAACAAAATTGCTACTTTTCTAAAGTAATAAGGATAAAGTTAAAATTTGTGAAAGTGCAAGGATGTGTTTATCAAACGCGTCCAGAAATTCAGTTTCAATAACTTCCAGATAAAATAAGATTTTTATCAAATTTTCGTATGAAATGCTATATAGCAACATATAAGTCATGAAATTAGACAGAAAATTTGAGTAAATATTAACTTCAAATCTGTGTCCAAGCACCTTTAAGTCATAATTCTCAAATTTCTTTCTGTAAAACTATATAATGTTAGTGTTGCCATGATAACAGATGCCTTGCTATTTAGATTTGCTTTAAACTTTTCTGTAAACTAAATACATACGTATCTTTAATAATTAGCTGTCAGATCTTAATTGGTTGAAAGTAATATCAGTATACTTTTTTGTTATTATTTAAAAGATTATTTAGAAAAATGTTGAAATTGAAGCTATTTTTTGTAACTTACTGTGGTTTCCATGTTAACACATAATTAGGGTTAAAAATATTAGTTTTGTTGGTCAAACATCATTTTCATATTTGTGAAAGTTGTGTACTATGAATATGTTTACAACCAGAAAAAGAAAATAATAGAAATCTTCATGGAAAAGTTTTAGTTTTCAAAAATTGTGTTGTCAAATCAACTTTTACAGATTTGATTCTTTTAATGTTTTATTGAATTTCTTACTGATAAATAATCTTTTTCAGTTAATTTTTTTAGTGGTCCAAAATTGGTCCAAGATACCCATTTTTTTTATTGAATATGCTTAACTTTCAACTTCAGAAAGCAAGTTATCATTCACTAAATAATTGTCTTATTATCAGATGTATGTGTAGTAGATGTATTACACTCAGAGTGAACATTATTCAGTTTGAATTTCATGTAGAAAGTTGTAGAAAGGTGTCCTATAGTTTCATCAATTTATATAATTCTAACGAATTCTGGACAAAGACAGGCATATAGTTACAGATCTAGAGAAATGGTAAATAGCATATATCTTTAGGAATTTATTTCTTTTATAATACTTATTATTATATTTGAAGACCTACCGTTGTAAGATGGACTTGGTTCCATAAACCGGTGAATTATTTCATTATTTTGTTTTATAAGAAAGATAACTCTTCACAATTGTGAAAAGTATTGCTACTGATTAAGGTTATAAAAGTTATTTCCCTTTACGTATGTAAAACAGTTGTAAATTCCATATAGTGAACTATTCAATTATGACACAATTTGTATAATGATCCTTATGTATATCTATTATAATATTATATTTTTATTGTACCATTCTAATATAATTATGTGTTTTATATTAATTTCAGAGGCAGCAGTTGTCAAATCATAAATATTGAAATCATGAAATCATAAATAATATATATTGAGAACTGGATATTCTTCTTTGTGCTTGTTTTGTTCTTTTTCATTCTTTTGTTGCTTTTTTTTCATTTTCAAAATAATTTTTTCAACATATTTGAACTTATCTTAATTTGTATTTAAATCTTACCTGGAATATTAATTTTGAGTTTTCCTGACATAATCTTGAGATATAGATTTCAGATGAAATGTACTGGCGCCACTGAGCATCCAACTTTTTACATTTCTTTTAAATCCGGAATAAATTAACACCTTTTTTTTTCTTTTTACATTTTCATAAGGGTTATGACATCTCAAAGACTATGTATAAATGGAGAACAGAATATTAGTTAGTATATTTAAGTTTTTGATTACTTTTTTTTCACGTGATCAAAAAGTTGCATATATGTATAGAAACATTTTTTACATTCAAAATTAGATTAAAAATCAAGTAGAATTTAATTGAAGTTTGTTTTAATTTTATAGTCTTGAAACTTTTATTTTTAACCAAATTTATTTCATGCCAGAACATTCAGTTATAAATGATACTTGTAAATAGGTCAGTAGGTCACATGGCTCAGGTGACCTTAAAAGAAACTTGCAAGGCTTCTGTATAGCCCTGTTTGAAGATAATATACCTGTACACTGACCAACAATATGTAAACTGACCAAAAATATACATTGACCAATAAGGTGATCAAGCTTAAAGCACAGTGTACCTCGATCCATGGAGAAAGTAACTGTCCATTGTACATACATTAGTTACAAAGTTCTCTGTATTTCAACAATGGCATTCATATGACATATGTAGAATGCATGTACAGTCAAATCTCATTATTTTTATCTCAATGGGGTGAAGAAAGAACTTTGACATTGAGGATTTAAGATACTGAGGGTAAAATACTTATCAAAAAGTGTTGCAGACTTCTAAATCACTTCGACATATCCATGGTATTCAAGATATCCAATTATTCCAGATACCAAAGTTCAGCTTTATAAGTTCAGCTTTAATGCCCCTTTTGAGATTTTTTTCACTCATGCATATGAAGACATCAGCCCTTGCTGATGGAGAGCTGCAAATTAGATCTATACATGTACTTGGCACTCAGGGCCATTGAGCAGTGAAGGAGATCTTTTTCTTGCCAACACCTACTGTGACACGGGACCTCGGTTGATACGATCTTATCCGAAGTACCAGTCTCCATATCCCACAATGGGATTCGAACCTGCAACGTAAGGTTCAACACTTTACTCCACAACTCTAGAGCAAAGGCTAGAGATCTAATCACTGCGCCATGCAGGCAGCTCTACATGAACATTTACTTAAATCATTTCATATGACATTAGAAATGCATTTAAAAAATTACACAACTAACAAATAAATACACATTTATTTACATTAAAAAAAAAAAAATAAATACATGACATATAAAGCATATAAAGGTATCATGCTAACAAAATAAGGTTAACATGCACAAAATCCTGATTTATCTGAAAAACAAAGCTTAAGGTGGATGTACCTGATGAGCTAAACTGGTTCTCATTGACTTGCAACAAAAGCAAGTAATTATGAAACAATGTAGATTGTGTCCTAAAATATAGGTCAGATGCAGCATACAAAGCCGCATTAGGGCAAAGCATTCACGTGTAGGCACACAATATGTGCAAATATGGGTTCGATACAACTTAAAGAATATCATACTAGAAAGGCAGCTCTATCACACTGTACTGCATGAGTGTCTAAAGCACATGTAGGGCTTATTCAGAATCCAATGCAAGCATCAGTATAAACATCCATAAATGCATTGTAAAATGTTTTACATGTTTAGTTCTGGACAGACATCATCATGTAACCTAGCTTAATTAACAATTAACTCATAAAACGCAGTGCCACGGTATATTTGACTAATTATACTTCCATTCTCTGCAAATTTGATTTACGTACCAGTTCTAATCAGAAGGAATGGGGGCACCAACCCCTGCACAGAGACCTCGGAGGGAGCTGCCCGGACCATGAATGCAAGAGTGAGCAGCACTATGCACCCGACCAGTTTCTTGTGAAAGTGACATTACGAGGCAGGGATCGTTGCAGAGTTCTGTTGAAGCTTTCGACCTTTTGAGATTTACTATTTTTGATTGTCCTGTCCAAGACAGCTGGAGACAACCTCTTTGAGATCCAGGCATGGAGCCTTGTCTCGTTCTCAGCAGAAGATGGTATTGTAAAATCTTGACCTAGATATGAACTCCTGCTCCCAATAATTTACTCTCCCTTTGCACACCAGAGAGTGTTTTCTGCGTAATGCATGATCTCCCATGTAACATTTCACTATTGCATGTTTGGCATATGAGAGCTTGTTTTTTAATTTATCTGCATCTCCAGCATATACTGCCTGAGCTTGATTTATCTCAGCTGTACATCTGTCAACAGCATCAAGGGCAAAGTTATGCACAAGTTTGGTTTTTTCTACCTTGGTTCCTCTCGGCATGACCTCTAACAGTTTTTGGTCTTTTTTTATTGACTTTCTAATTGTCTCTGACAAATGCTGAGTGTCGATATAGTGAACTGGTTTATTTTCCAGCAGACCATCCTTGTAGAGGGAATCTGCAGCTCGACCGGCAGAGCTGTCCAGATCAGTGGTTAACTCCCTTACTTCAAGGCCAGAGGAGTTCTGCCATCCCCTCCCTAGCCCAGGTGAACTCATCCCCAGTAGTATGCTACACTGGTAGATTTGTCCCACACATCCCAGTACTGCAGTGGTGGTCAGCAGTGCCCTCATCCAGTGAGTGCCCATGTTTAGTGCAAATTTTATTTTTAGTCACCATTTTAATTGTGAACTAGGTCAGCATGACCCAGATAACTTCTTTATGATTAAGTTCCAGGATGTGAGCTAATTAGTGGAGGTGACTATAAGATAGAGACAAATATTGTGGACAGGTGTTCATGACCTTTGCTGATCAATCATCATCATCAACAACAGCAACATCATCATAATCATCATGATTATCATCAACCCCTCATCATAATCATCATCATATCATTATCATCACATCTACAATCAAGTGTACATCATAAATGTTACACATGCATATATTTTCATGGTCATTTTAAGTGCACCATTTTTAGAGCATTTAAAATATTTTATTTCTTCAATCAAAGTTCATGTTGTTTGT